TTTGTTCTAGCTGTAGAGGTCACACCCTCTGCAACATCCTTCAGCTCTTCCAATAACTCTTTGGAGTTCATGCTGTCCACCTATACACCATATGGATCTAAGGATTCCGTGAGCAGCGCCAACGCTCTCTCTAACCAATCCATAACACAAGGATCAATATTCCTTTCTGTCACATCAGCCATGATTATTCACTGTTCAGCACTTATCTGGTTAAATAGTTGCCAACTTCAGAGATTTTAACAGGTAAATATTTGTATTCAAGTGAGCAATGAGTTCATGTACTCTAAAGCACTCAAAATTAAATAAACCTGCAATTTTTCTAAAAGTCTCACAGCAACTGTAGTTTTCAAACGCTTTTTAAGCAGTTCTATATACCAGAAATTCGCTATTTAAAACAGTCACTCATAAAACAGGCTGGATGAACAAAAAGAAGAAAAAGAATGAGAGGAATTATCAGTCACCCTTTAGGAAAACTGTTATACTCCTCTTTCAACAGCAGGTGGTGGTGTAAGCTTATTTATAACAGCAGAAGTCTATGACAACTTCCTGTGGATCGTCCTGCTGACATCCGGTCGTTAGCCGTTAGCTAGACGTAGCACACGGTCGAACACGGTCAAATCAGCATTCTCTGAACAGAATTAGAGCTTAAACGAGGCATTGTTTTAACAAGAACGACTATTTGCATGAAACATGAGTTTTGGGAACAGTGGCAGGCTTCATTTAGCGATTTTAAACACAGAGGAGGCTTCGGTTGAACCGAGATTCATTTCCGGGGTCACGTGACTTCATAGGCACGTGAGAAACGGGGTGGGCTTTACAATCTATCATCAGAGGGAGTGAACGCAGACACGTCACCCGTTTCTCAGCGAATCAGAGCGACCCAAACAGCGGTTTTCAACCAATCACAGCTCGTGATTCCAGCTAGCAGTGTTAGCAGTTAGCCTGAAAAAGTCCGGTCAACTCTCGCCCATAAAACTTCAAAAATGCACACTTTACTGTTGCAAATGTAACAAAGCTCTTTTAACAGTGGTCTGAGACGGCGCTCAGCTTCAAAACAGCGTTTTATTCATTCAAAACACGACTCGTTCAACGAATCAGAACCGAGTCGGACCGCAGAACCGGGTCAGACAAAACCCCCTTCTCTGCTACAGTCTAAACAGAATAAAGCGTTTTTCCACAGCATGCCAGCATTAGTTACACAACAGATATACAAATTTCAGCTTTAAAATGAACACATCGACATTACTTTCAGCTCTCTGAACACCACAAGCAGAATCATGCTGTATCAAGCTCAAAACTCGGACCTGTTCATGCCAACACTCAGCGTCCATCTCAATGACACAGACTCCGTCACATATAATTCACACCTCTTTAAACATTCGTACGGCCACAAAATGTCTAAAGGGGAGGATAGGTCCTAAATTATCTCTTTTAGAGACCATGCGCGTCACGAGAAGCTCTTTAGAGACCACGTCCGGGCCACCAGATTGTAGTATGGTAAGGCTAGGTTAGCTTCAGTTAGCTTAGGAGCTCCACTACAGTCAATTTTTAATAACGGGTTCTCACTTTTTCGAGCTACTTGACAGATATGTGACAGAGGTACTGTGTTGGAGATGGTCTAATCAGTGACATGAGACGTTAATTTTCTTTGACCCATCAAAATGAATGTGGTCATTTATTAACAGAATCAAAATTTAACATCAAAACATGGTACACTTGATTATACTGAACGGCTCTGATTAATAAAACTTGGCACGTTTTACTTAATAAAAACAACAGACATTTCTGAAGATATCTGGATTAATTACTGGCAAGATAGAAGTTTGAAGATGGAAAGGAAGGAGTTTAAATGGAGAGAAAAGATGTGGAGGAAGAAAGTGTGTTGACTAGGAATGGCACCCTTCATCCGACCCCAGCTCAGCCCGGGTACACTAGGCAGTGAAGCGACTCGTTACCTTTGCAGAAGATAGGTCAGCTCCGGTACGGAGTTCCATTTCAACGCTACCTTTCAGCGTCTCCTTAGGATGGCTGAGAATCGTCCGAAGTAGTGACGGTACTCCGTTCAACAACATGCTCACCTCCTGGGTGGACTCACAGCTCGCTGTGAGTCCTTCAGAGGTTCCACTCAGATGTGGAAGGCTCCATAATCCCAACCAGAACCAGAAGAAGTCACGGAACCAACCAACTCACTCCAGAACTTCTTTCAGAACTGAACTTCTAAACTAACTGGAACTAGGAAGTGTTGACTTTTAAAGAGTTCTGCTTCCGGTCACTTTTGGGAAGTCCTGATTGGTTGAAAGAACCAACAGGGGTGTGGTTTTAATGACATCAGAGGGTCATTACAAGTCAAGAAAACAGCGGAGATGTTTAAGAACAGACAGAGAAATGTTTTGGAGAAATGACAGACTTACAGGTGCCAGTTTTCTTGTTTCTGTCTGAGAGGTTTAAAAACATGACAGTTCGTTCCCATAAACTTGTTTTTGACTGTCTCCAACTTTTGACCGACATCAATCCTTTCTCATTTCAGACAGAAGATCAAAAATGCATAATTACTTTGTAACATAGACATTTAACTTGATTTCTACTTTGAATGAGGATTAAAAAAATCATTAATACTGTTTCACAGTTGATTTAAAATGAGTGGTTCATTTCAACATTTAAAAATGGTATGAACTAAACACACTTTTGATTATCAAGACATTGTAAAATAGTAATGATGATATAAAAAGAGAGTGTTCTTTCAATTGATTAGTTCAGGATACAATTAGAAAGTCTCTGGATGAGCTAATTTGTATTTCTGGATTCAAATAAATGAAATAACAGTTCCTGTCCCATGAAGGTCTTCAGAGGCAGGTTTTGACCGGAGGCCGAGTTCACTACAGCAGTATAAGACTGTTTGAACTGAAGGATAGATAGTGAGGGAGCAAGCAGCGTGTCTCTTTAAGAAAAATAGTTAAAATGGATTTTAAAGAGAAAGGGAAGGGTCAGTGAAGAGCACTGGAGTTGAGCCTTTTGTCATCCAGTGTCTTCAGTAGAAAGGGAGAGAGACGAAGAAACAATAAAGCCGATAAATGAACATGAGGTTGATAATTTTAATTTATCATGCGATTAATTGATTTATTGTTTATTGCCTAACGTTCAGTACCATCGGAACACCACGGTGTATTCAAGAGCATAAGAACCATGAAATTCAGAAAGAATCAAGCCATAACCAAACAGAACCGAGCTCAATAAAGAAGCCAACTACACAACAATGTGAGCTTTCTAACAACTTTGTTAATAAAGGCTGAGTGAACATACTTCATTAGAATCAGACTTTTTAAAAGAGCAAGTCAGCCTTTCATTGTTTGCTCTGTGTGTTCTGTTTAAATTTTAAGTGCACAGCTGTGTTTTCGGTTTTGATATGCAGGGAAAACAACTTATTTTTGAGACATTTCTTTTGCAGTTACAGCTGTTTGTAAAAGGTGAGGTGTCTATAAGGGTGCATTCACACCAGCCCTGTTTAGTCCACTTTAATCGAACTCCAGCTCGTTTTCCTAGAAAGTCCGGTTCGATTAGGGAGGTGTGAACGCGCCATCGAAATTTGTCGCGGAACAAAAAGGCGAACTCTGGCCCGGGCTAAAACCTAGGTCTCGGTCCGGTAGAAGCGAACTCCAGCGCGGTTCGAGTACAGTGTGAATGTAAACAGACCGGACCCCGCTCCACAGGACAAACAAAACACGCATTTCTCTTACCTTATATGGAGCCGTCAGCTGCCTTGTGTGGATAAACAATATTCTCCGTGGTCTTCTGTCTCATCTTCTGCTCATGCCAAGTCCATTTTTGAAAAATGACAAAATATAACTGCTAAAACTTGATGCCACTTCGTTTTTATTTTTATTTACAGAAGAAGAAGAAGACGTGTCTTCAGAGGTTTTTGTGTCGTTTCTTTCAGTAGTTCTTGGTGCAGCGCCCCCTCAGGCAAGCAGGGGAATAGGTTGGTTCAACAGGTTGGCTCGACTGCACAGTGCAGTGTGAATGCAAACGCACCAGCTCAAATGTAAACAAAAGGTCATGAATATTGGTCCCGAACCAAGTCTACCGGACTATCTGGTGTGAAAACGACCTAAATAAAGGTGTCTGTGACAATTGGGACTAAGCTTTGACTCAGAAATATATTTTTATTACTTTATATTTTTTTCTTTCCATAAATATATATATCACCACTCATTAAAAAAAATATTGAGATATTAATTTTGGTCCATATCGCCCAGCCCTACGTGGCACTATATAATCTGAGTATAAACTGAATTGAATTTTGTAGTTCAACTTGGGCAACATCATTTATTCACAGATTTGCCAGGTGTTTGTATGGACATTTACATCTTTATGACATTCTTGTATATAATTGAAGGAATTCATGAGATAAAAATCATAATCTACTTCATTTGTCTATCAGTTTTCCACAACAGTATTCCCCCCCGCCCCCCAACTAAAAATGGTGTGACATCATGTGACGGATGATGCCAACTTCGAGACATTCTCATAGTTAACCTGATGTCATTTATAGATTAAGCAGAGGCATCATCCATTTTTATTATTATACCTGCTTCTCCTTTTTGAGTCGTGGGTCGCTGGTGCTTATCTCCATCAACTACTTTGCAAGAGGAGGAGACACCATGGACAGGTCGCAAGTCCATCACAGGGACACAGAGACAAACAACCATTTGTCACATGGTTTTGGTCTGTGGGAGGAAGCTGGAGTACCAGCAGAAAACCCACACGTGCAGGGGGAGAACATTTCAACTTCACACAAAGGCCCGAGGCAGGGAGGCGATCCTGTGACCTTGCTGAGGCAACAGCTCAGCCACTGTGCCACCGTTTTTTTAATCTAGATTTCCTTTGTAATTCACCAAGTTTTGTTTTTCACAAAAGAAAATCCAAATTGATATAAAATGTTCTTTCATCGTTACTAATCTACAGGATGACTGATTTAATTTTTTACATTTCTTCTCTTGCAGTTGCTCGCTTGGCTGTTACAAGAAGCATAAAGGTGAACAAGTTTCATCCCTGATTTTGTATTTATATATTTAGTTGTGACTTCATTCCCAAAATACTATGAACATTTATTTATTTTTCTGTCCGCAGACCTTTGTGCTCCTGATGAGAAGCCTGCTTCACTCAATCCTGGATCTAAAGATGCTGACAACCCAGGTATTATTTCAGCATAATTTCTATGATAGTAATCATTTCTTACGTTAATGTTAGCATGCAGCCACATTTTATTCTGGGTTGGTGGTAATGTTTATTTGTCCAACGGCCACTTGTCACATCAAGATTGACAGTGAATTGTGTTAAATAAGTTTATAAAGTGGTGAAAATCTCGGCCTTTCAGATTTTCTAAACATGCGTATATTTTTAAATTATGTTTGTCAGTTTCTGCAGAAGCATGGAGTGTTCATGACCTTCTGCAGGAAGCGGACATCATAGACAAGGTGCCACTGCAGAGGCTCCAGTTATTGGGTATTCAAATCTACATTTCTTCACTCATGGATTATTATAACAATATCACTTCACGTAAATACTGTCTTATTGATTGTTTTTTTACAGGTCAATCAAAAGAGCTCAGAGATCTTCTTTGCAACCCCCACCTGAGGCGATTACTGCGTTCTGTTGACAGCGCAGAGAGCAAAGCTGAGGCGATGAAGGCTGCCATGCAGGAGCCTCTGTTTGTAGAGTTTTCAGATCAGTGTTTAACAGTAGTTGAAAAGGAAACAAATGGGTTTACATCTGATAATGATTGTGATTTGTAAATGTTTGTATTTCTTTGGTAGTTGACCACACATGTCATGCATGTACATATGTTTCTGTTGAACCGTGTTTGTGTCAGATGTTCAAATAAATGCTTAAACCATTTTCAACAAATTCTTCAACAATGGCAGAATTATTTGGCAATAAAAGTACTGTTTATTTAATATATTTTCATTTATTTTGACAAAACTGTTCAAATATTTATCTTTACACTAACCAGCCTCCACAGTGGAACCCCTGACAGATGACTAACATCTGTCCACAGCAGGACTGTGCAAAAAATGCAAAAGTTTAAAGCTATGCAACAAACTTCTTGGGTTCTAATCTGAGCGCCTGCATTACACCTCTTGGTTTCGAAGAGAGCCCACTCTGTTAACAACATACTGCAAAAATCACAGGACACCCACTCCCCGAGGCTCTACGTCCATAACCAAGCAGGGACTAACAGTAGGTGGTTTAAATGTTGCAACAAGTGTTATTCAGAGTTGCATAACTAAAACAGCTGGTTTTGCAAAGTATATTTTTTCACAACAGACGCATTTACCTAAACTCATTACTGAATAAATAGAAAAGTAAAAATGTAAGCCAGAGATGTCCCTGCAGGTCGTGCTCCATCAGAACTAGGAGAATAAACAATAGTATTATATTAAAGTTTGATAGTAAAAAAAACCAACCAATCACAAATCAAGTTTGTTCTTCCATGCAGACACAAGTTAAAACAAAACAAAAAAACCTTTGGTTTGTTTATCTAAAAAAGTTAAATCTGGTCCTCTGGACATTCAAAAAAAAACAAAAAGCAAATCAACAAAAAAATGTAGAAACGTTTCGTCTCTCATCCGAGTGACTTCCTCAGTCTGAGGAGCTGTATTCAGCTCAGTCTCTTAAATAGCACCGTCTCAGGGTGGATCAACCAGTTTTGCTGCTGACAACCAAAACCAGCTGATCACATGCTCAAGAAGGACCATCAGCCTAACAATGGATCATTAGCACACTGATGGCTGTTTACTGTTCACAGAGGGCTGAGTGATACTAGCAATCACAGCATTGTAAGAGGGGGACAGTTGAACCCGGAGGCCTCCACCCCTGTTTAATGATGGACGATTTCTTTTCACAAAGATGGCCTCCTTTACTCCTCTCTCAAACCATCGTTCCTCTGTCCAGGATGTGAACATCTTCATCCCTGAAAGAGTGACCGCTGGCCTGGAGATGAGTGTAGACCGCAGAATCCTGGCCTGATGATGTTGATCTTCTGTGCTGGGCCATCCTTTTGGCCAGTGGCTGTTTTGTTTCCCCGATGTAAGACTGATCACAGCCCTCCTGACACTGAACAGCATACACAACATTGCTCTGTTTGTGCCGGGGGACTGGATCTTTGGGATGAACCAGTCTTTGCCGTAATGTATTTTGGGGTTTAAAAGCCACTGGGACGTTATGTTTAGAAAATAAACGTCTCAGTTTCTCTGATACTCCCTCAACATTGGATGAAGATGTTCACATCCTGGACAGAGAGGAACGATGGTTTGAGAGAGGAGTAAAGGAGGCCATCTTTGTGAAAAGAAATCGTCCATCGTTAAACAGGGGTGGAGGCCTCCGGGTTCAACTGTCCCCCTCTTACAA